GAGACGGACGGACTAACGAAATTGCAAATAAATGCAAGCAATTTGTGTGCGCCAGCAACGGCAATAAAACCAAATGTACATAATTTTATTTTGTTTCTATTTTTTTATTTTTTTTTTATTTTTTTTTGTTGCGAGTGTTTTTTCGAACTACATTACCAGCAGAGCAAGGCAACAAGCGCATTAAGTGAGCGAACGCGTGCAAATTAATTCCGCAACGCAAACAATCGGCTGAGCGAGTCTCTGACATCGGTGACAACAGCCGGTCGCAACGTCAACTGACCGAACAGACAGACAGTCGATTGGTTAGGCATATGAAAAAAATTAGCAAAATTAAATGCACAACAAGCTGAAAATAAAAGTAGTAAACAAAAAAGGCTCTAGGTGGTAACGGAGGAGGCTCCAACAACAGCAACAGCGGCTGTAGAAATGCCACAGTAAATAAAAATCGAAAAATCACATCGAGTGCAATGGGCAAACGAACAAACGAACGAACGTGTAGAAGCGAGTTTCCAATTTCATTAGCACACATACATGTATGCGCATAAATGTTAGTAAATATGAGCAGTGTTGCCAGTTGTTGTTTTCAGAGAAAATGTTAAATGGGCAAAAAAATAAAGCTAAAATAAGCTAAATCAAAATTTTAGTTATGGCTAAAAAAATAGCCAAATTAACAAATCTAATATTTTTGGTCGTTAAGATAAAAATAATGCATTCTTTTAAGAAACAGCTGATTTTGTACTTACAAAAGTAAATATTTTTTGTTACCTCACAAAATCTAGACAGCTTAAGACAAAGTTTTGATTCCACGATTCGGGGTGTATTTAGCCCCATCACGTGAAAACCAATACACACTTTTGTATCCTCCCACACTTTACCCAGTGTATACAACTCCAGGGTACCTTCCCTGGCCAACTTCTCCGCAACGCGGTTCCCTGCAGTATCGATATAGCCTGGTACCCAAATGAGTCTGACCAGGGAAAGTTCCGTGCAAAAATGCAGTTTAACAGGCATTCGACTGCTTCCTTAATGTTAGCTATGCGTGAAAGAACCATTCACCGACACTTCCGTCAAGCTTCGACTCAAATTCACCCCTGGCGTCCTGCGACTACTGCTTCCCATTAGCTCATTCCTTAAGGTAATGTGAGTGTCGAAATAGCTCAGAAAGCAGTCTACCCACGCGGATATCGCATAAAAGTCGAAGCCTCAGAAGCATTTCTTTTTGTTCTGACGAGGGAAAATATGTACAAACATTTGCACTAGGGCTGTGCGATTATTCGATTACTCGAGCAAGTTGGTTAATCAATTATTCGGTTAATCAATTACTCGAGTAATCAAGATTTTGATTACTCAAATCGAGTTACTTGAAATATGATTACTCAAAAAAAATAATTTTGCTCGTTAAAAGAGTTTACTTTGGAAAAAGCTTATTTTCTTTTTTACATTCTGTATATGAAAAAATTTTTCGTTTTAATTTTTGAAAACAGAAACGTTGTTTTCAAAGTATCAAGGAACTTTAACTACTTTATACATATGTA